AGGCACACCTCCTATGATGACTTCGATGTTCTGCTCTTTTGCCATGTTGATCTGGTCATTGTCTTTTAGATTAAATGTATAGTATTCATTGCCCCTTGAGTCATCTAAATTTCTCGCCTATGTTGCATTGTGCTTCTTATCCAACAGGGCACCTTGTTTGGTCTCCTTGTCCCGAATATTGCAGCAAAATGCCCTATATTTTTGCAAAGTTTACACATTTTCACTTTGACGGGACACTTTTGATCAGTTTGCATAACCACAATGATGGCAGATTTGTTTTTTGTTCCTCAGTATGTGATTCCTTTTTTGGACATGGTTTCCTGTCACAATCTTCAAGACTGATTCAGTTTCCAAACTCCTCATTTGAATTGAAATAGTCTCAAATGCTTGTGCTATTTCACCAACCTCCTTTAAAGTTATATCTCCTCTTTTGAGAATTTGATTTTTTATCTCTGATAAGCGACAATTTTCCAGTACTTGGTCCCTAATTTCCTCTTCAGCTGAAGAATACCTTGCTTGCTGCCTCAATCTCGTGATAAACTGATTAATAATTTTGTCTTCTTTCTGCAACAGACATGGTGCTCGTATGTCTTGTCTGTCATTGATTTGAAATAGTTTGTTAATACGGTCTTTGTCTTTTGAAATGTGTCTTCACCCTCTTCCACCATATCAGTGTCTGGAATGGTGTAGAATATATCTTGCAAATCTAAGCTGCCCAGATGTATCAAAGTTTCCTTTCTTTCAATTTCCATNGAGAAATTTAGATGACTCAAGGGGCAATGAATACTATACATTTAATCTAAAAGACAATGACCAGATCAACATGGCAAAAGAGCAGAACATCGAAGTCATCATAGGAGGTGTGCCTTTAAACTAATTAATAAACTTGGGAGCATTGTACAATGTTATTGGTGAGGACCTGTGTGAATCATGTAAGGAGAAGGGAATTTCCTGTAAGATGCAAAAATCTTCAATTAGGAAACTTTCCCATATGGACAGAGTGAAGCCTTAGAATTACTATACAAATTTGGTTGTAATGTTAAAGTGAGCAAGAAGGAGACATAAGAAATTTTCTTGTTGCGAAAGGTCAAGGTCAGGGACTTTTGGGCTACCAAACAATGCTCGAGTTAGAGATTTTAAAAATTGGTCCAGAATTACAGGTCAATACCATGCAACTTGGAAAGAAAATAATGATGGTAATTGGAAAACTGAAAGATTTTAAACTCTGTTATCAGGCATATGTCTGTTATCAGGCAAATTTCTTAAAATGTTTCAAAGAAACCACTCTGGAATCCATAAAAAATTCTCAAATATCTATTCTCTTTTGAACAGCAAGAAACTTAAAAAAAACACAAAATCTATGAGCATTTATTTATTTCTGCTTTTTAAAAATTTCTTGAGGTTTAAAGATAAATGTAATTGAAAGAAAACAATTTTTTTAAATGCATTTTAATTGAAAGAACAATTTGAGATAGATACCCAATGCATTATTTTAAATAATGCACAAAATTGTCAAAAAGCACAACAAATCAAGATATTGTACAATTTATGAGAGCAATTTCAGTTTCTAAATAACCTGTGCTTTGAAAAGATAATTTTGTAAGATTGCTTCAAACTCCTGGATAAAAACATATACAGTAGAGCATCGATTATCTGACTCAATTGGGGACTGGGGTTGGTCGAATAACTGAAAAAAACGGATAACCAAAAAATATGAAAAAATACATTATTAGTATAGTATATTAGTATATCTCATGTAATTAGTATATTGCTATTAACCTACTTGCATTGAATTTTCATTGATGTTAAGCCTAACAAAACTTTTTTAAAATAATAATCGTCGCTATTGTATCGTTAAAAATTAGAAAATTGAGCCTCGTTTAAATACTGGCTCCCTTTCATGGTCGAGCCAGTGTTGCCAGCTAAAACACGTAAAAATACTATTAAAGTAGCCAAGATATAGCCAAATATTGTAGCGCCACATCACTAGCGGACATTAGAATTTGCCGACTAGAACAGTCGGTTAACCGAGGTGACGGTTAATTGGGGGTCGGATAATCGATGCTCTACTGTATTACCAAGTTAAGCAACTTTCATTATATTCAAATGAATTTTCTGCTAATCAAGCATTTTATTTGGTACACACAGTTCTCAGAGTGCCATGTCTATTACACTACTGGTATATTCAAACTTACTATTCAGCCCAAAATCATATTGCATGAGGATATCAGGCTTTGTCTACAAATAAAATGTCTCTCTGCTTAAATGACAGATTTTGTTTTGTAATAAAAATAAATTTCTGCAGTTCTGTATGCTATACTCCATTGTGAGTGAATAGCTTTTAGAATGGCATTGAATCCTCTACCTTGACAAATATCTGCACCATTTACTCTAAGCCTTCAAGATAACATACTGAAATATGTCAGTCAGCTCTACATCAATCAGAATACAGCTGACTCTCAATAACTCAAACTTTTTTAACTCTTAAATCTCTAACTAGAATTTTACTTTCATCTGATGAAACTCACAAACTCAATGTATTTTGTCATGTACATTTAAATTAAATTTAAACTAAATGTATGTCAGGAATTGAAAATATACATAGAACAGACAAGTTGAAAAAAGGATTGAACAACACTTGGCAGTGATTAGACTTCAATATGTAAATTTGCTGTGGTGGAAACATTAAATGAAAATAACTGTAATATAGCTATTTCAAAAATTAAAATATAGATATTTCTTTCTCTATCTACTAAAAGAATATCTGGTATTAATTAATATTAATATTAAAAACAAATTAAATTTAAATAATGGTATACAAATTTTCATGGGTTAGTATGACATTACATGGTATTAACAGTTTTTTTTTTATTTATAACAGAAAAGATTTACTTATACTACATGCATTTTGAATTGTATTTTTCCACAGTTCCTTTCAGTAGTTAAATAGAAACACTGAGAATAAGTAATACAATATAAGCACTCTCTTTACCCTACAAGAGTACCAAGATACAATTTAGCCATGCATTGTCGACTAGTTTATAAAGATCAAAGGAAGGTACTATTTTTTAAACTACCTTTACCTTCCTTTTTGAACATTTTTAGAATTATATATATATTTTAATCAATCTCCTGTAATATATGAGTAATTATTATTTAAATTGGAATACTAAATACAGAACCTGTTACTGGTGTAATTTGCGTGAAAAAATCTTCTTTCCACAAACGTTTGAGCTTTCCAAATAGCTCTTCTTCAGGTAGAGAAAAAATTCCGACGAAACACTTCGAAAAATGGAACATAGATATTTAAATAAAAAACCGAATCTAAAAATAGAACGCAGATGTTTAAACAAAAAATATGAAACTCGCATAACGAACGATCATTAAGATGGTCATGCGCATTCGTGCGCTGATGTTGCTATTTATAGATCGTTGTTTATGAGGGCCTGCCACGCTATAGAAAGATTAATCTCATCCTTCCGATTTATACATGTGGTCCGGTGGTTAGCCTTACAGATGGATATAGCTTCCCGCCATTTTAGTTGTTCCAGGTGGGGCGTAGTGTCGATGATGTCAGCTTTGTCGAACTCCGGTTCTATATCGGGATCAGATGCAAAGGTGGTTAGGGCCGTGGTGTACCGCCCATGCCGAAGGTCTGCTTGATGCTCTTGCACTCTGGTATTTAAAGATCGCTTGGTTGAGCCGATATAGACAAGGCACTCGTTACATCTGTTATCTTTCAGCGGGATAGAGTACATGCCAGGAAGCCTGCTATGAACCGGACTGCCTTTTCCATTTCTGAGGATGATGTAGATTGTTGGGCATCTTCTATAGGCTATTTGTAATTGTTGTTTTCCGGCGATCTCAGCGTATATCGCTTTAACATATGGGTTAAAGGTGACTGGGAGGCATGTACGTTCATCCTGGTCAGTGTTGGTCTTCGTACGCGTAGTGGGTGCATATTGTGAGCGTTGATGTCGCTCAATTAGACGGTGCGTTAGACCATGGTAACCGTGCTTGGCTGCTATCCTCTTGATATAATTCAATTCGGTGTTGAGGCTCATAAACAACGATCTATAAATAGCAACATCAGTGCACGAATGCGCATGACCATCTTAATGATCGTTCGTTATGCAAGTTTCATATTTTTTGTTTAAACATCTGCGTTCTATTTTTAGATTCGGTTTTTTATTTAAATATCTACGTTCCATTTTTCAAAGTGTTTCGTCGGAATTTTTTCTCTACCTGAAGAAGAGCTATTTGGAAAGCTCGAAAACGTTTGTGGAAAGAAGATTTTTTTCATGCAAATTACACCGGTAACAGGTTCTGTATTTAGTATTGCATCCCTGGTGTCAGAGTGAAGTTTAATTTACTTAAATTGGAATATTCTTTATAATTCTTCAAAAGTCTGTATATAACAAAAACTGTTATATTTTCTGTAGATTATACTGTCATTAATTATTAATATTTATTAATGTTTCTAATCCGTAATAAATTTTTAAATGTCTATCTACTTATAATTATCACTCAATAGTTTCATTTAAAAAAAAACCCCTTTTTATACATGGAAATACAGTAACATAGTATTTTAAATTATTCACAATTGAAGTAAACATTTTTGAAGATATATATAATTACAATAATTTTTAAAAATTTATATACAAACATTTGAAATTAAAAAATGTTTTGAAACTCATGAAACAATATTTGATTTTTAAAATAAATCAATGTCCCTACATTTTCCCTAGATTTTTGTTAGTGCTTGCTGCAGAGCCATGCCAACAGATGAGGCAGAGAAGCAATTGTCTCTAGTGCCAAATTGGAAGGGATACTAGAAAGGTGTCAATGTTTATAGAAACTGGGGCTGTTCTTAGATCTGCCCAAGATGCCAAAATCATTCAAAATGGTCCTGGCTTACTGCATTAATTCTATTCTTTAAAAAAATTTTGCTTGTATTATTCTGTAAGAATAAAATTTAAAATGAAAAATGTTTAACTTACCTTTTAAACAACTGAAACATTCTAAAGCTCTTTCGTTAACATTAAAATGAGTATGAAGAAAGTCTAACTTTACAATATTTCGAGAAGGAAGAAATAAATTTTTAAATCGTTGATGCATCTATAATAAAAAATTGTTATTTATACTACTTTTAATTAAATATAGACAGTCCTTGACTTTTGGGTGTAATGTGTTCATAAAATTGTGTCCAAAAGAACTGCACATAAAGGGTGTTCCATTCCCAGAGAACTAAAAAAGAAAATTATAAAAGCTCATTAATTATATAAAAAAGCAAGCCTGAGTTAACAGTGAATGTTACAAAACATAAAACATTATTTAAGACATTAAAACAATAGATAAATAATAAAAATTAATTTCACAAATAATTTTAATGTTACTGAAATCAAAACTGGCAAAAAAATCCACTGCATGATAAATCAGAAATTTTGTCACCCCAAAATGTATGCAAGCCAAGTTTGGGATACAAAAAGCAATTTGGGAATATAAACATATTATGGAAGTTTTCCAAAAGCCAAGGACTGCATGCATATGTAATGTGAAATTTATTGGCAAATATATAATATAATTAACTTACTTCGGGTAATATATGAAAACAAAGATTTTTCATGGTCAAATGTCGAATATTTGTTTTATTTTCAGGAAATATATTTTCTAAATCAGAAAGTGACATAGTTGCATTACATATTGAAAGAAAACTAAGTTGCTCCTTTGATTTCATATGGAAGTTATTGAATTCACTTTTATAAGGCAAGTAAACATTACTTTTGGCTAAATTACTTAATACATCTTGAATCTGCTCGGATGAAACAACTAAAAAAAATTACATAATTTCGTTATTTGAATAGAAAATTTAGCTAATAAGCTAACTTGAAAGTTTTAAAGATAATTATATTTAAATAAATTATTATACTAAAAACCTTAGCAAATTTACTTTAATAAATAAATATACAGTGTGTTCAAAAAGTCACTGTAGTGGATATCACAGTTTTTAACCAAGGTACCATGCTCAAGTAAACATTGCATTAAACTGCCTGTAGCAACTGTGAAATAGTTGAGTACATACAATGCTATCTGGTGTAAAATATTGGTTTAAAATTATTCCTGAAACCAATCAGAAAGCCAACAGAAGCAACCACAACCTACAATACCTACAACAGAAGGAATTTTTTGAACACACCATAGAACTACAGAGAGAAAAAAGTTAAACTGAAGTAAATTAAAAAATTCAATAATACAAAAGTTAAATATTTTAAAATTAAATGTTTAAAATTTGTATATATTTCTGTTAATCCAGGGATTTTGAAATACTTGTCAATTTTATGGTTCAAAAGATGAATAAATAGGCTCTATGATTTAATTTACTTGAAGCTTCTTGTCCTTTAAACATTACATTTGTAAATTATATAGTATACTGATAAGTCCTTGAATTATCAATGTACTATACGATTTAGAAACACAGGCTCTACAATGTCTGGCCACATTGAGAAAATGAAATGAAAACTGTTGAAGAGAGTATACATGTGAAAATGAATGGGAAGTATGGTAGAAGGCAAAGAAAGTCTTGGTTGGAACAAGTAGATGAGTATCTGAAAGAATCTAAGATGTCGAGTTGGAAAAATAATGTGAAGTAGTGTGCTAGAAGAGGCATGAACATGTCTGAAACAAAAAAATCCGATTATCTGGACAGGAAAGTGTGGAGAAAGTTGCCAAATTAATGATTTCCTAGAACTGTAGTCTGTTGCCTGTTGCTCACCTTTTTTTGGATTATGATTTGTGAGGATATGTATGTATGTATGTATGTATGTATGTAAATTTTAAGTCAATTTAAAAATACCAGTAATTACAAAATGAATGTATAAAAATTATCAAAAATATTAATAAATTTCTGTATTTAAATTCTTACTTTTTTTAGTGTCTTCCAAAAAAAAAAAAAAATGCTACCATTTTAAATTATTGTAATTATGCTAATATCTGAGAATATTGTAATGTAAATTAAAATATTTGCAAACTGTCCAAGTTCCACATTTTCCATGACAATTTGTCAATGTGCACACCTTATGTCATATGGCATACATCCAACTAATATTCAAATTCTTCCTATGCTTGCTACAGCATATCCATTGTCACTTCTCCCATAGCGGCCACAATTCTACAGCTCCTACAGATTACTCATGTTGTACAGTGATGAGTGATTCTGACTTTGCAAACCGTAAAACACGAAATGACTTCTCTGTTGCAGAGTTGCCATTTTCATTTACAGCACTTCCTAGAAACAGCAAATGACAAGATGTTCAAATGCAATGGGAGATGAAACTTAGACACTATCAACTCATATACATCTCATAGTTCACAGATAATAATTAACATAATTACAGTAATTTAAAATGATAGTATTCATTTTGGAAGATTCTGTAAATCAGTATCTATCGTCAATATTTATAGCAACAAATATCACAAATTAATGACATTTAGTCATTACAAACAAATCTGATGGCAAAGATAATAAGGATGTATACTCAGCTCCTTGAGAAGATTTAGACTGGGCCAGAACCTTAAATTTACATGAATAATTTTACTCAGATATGTTGCATTCTGTGACATCACAAGTTTGGCCAGATCCATATTTAACACATACTGTTAGTGTCCTCAGGATGCATTAATCATAAAACACACCCTTTATAATGAAGATATATTCCTCTAAAGATAACTTTTTGAAAATTTTTCAGAGTTTATTATGCTGTACATTCCATATGGGAATGAAAGTTAATTTTATTCATATAAAGATATGCTGTATAATCATTAAAAACAAATTTTAAACATTTGAGTAATGAATTTTGTACCTTAAAGTAAAAAAATAATAAATATAAAAATTAATAAAAAAAAAAGTATAATAGAAATGGAAACAAGATTCTGTAATATACCCAAATTATCAACTATATCTGGTGTCAGATAAAGTTTCTTCCAGTTAACGTTTGAATGTTCCAACATGAAACCTGACAAAAATGTCAATGTATTATTGCTGAGAGATGCACGAATGTCTTTGCACATATATTCTTCTTGCACCGAAAAGCTATGTAGTTTTGTCAATTTTTGGTACAAAGGTCTGGGCACAGGATGTATCAAAAAATAAAATTCATTCGTAGTCGCAAACGGATGAAGATGAAGACATTCTAAATTGACCGTGTACTTTAAAAATAAACTCAGTAAGTAATTCGACAGTTCTGATTCGTGAAAATACACACTCAACCTGCGAAGTTTTGACAGATCCAATTTTCCTTCATCCACATACTTCACCAGCATGGCACTATTTTCCCTGAAATTCAAGCAGACATCTACGAGGGACCAAGAGAGTTCTTCGAGATGTGGCAGACGAGACAAGATTCGAGTCAGAGACTCCAGGCTTACTCTGCTACAGCTGAAGGAAAGGCACTTTAAAGATTTGCATTTTATTATACAAGACTCCCAAAACTTATCAGTCACACAAGTGTAACAGTCCTCAAAGTCAAGCAACACTATACTTTTTGAGCGTTTACTCAAAAAGAATTCTTTCAGTTCTTCTCTGCTCATCAGTCTAGATTCTTTAAAGTTAACATTCCTGAAAAGACAAACAAATTATAAATATGGCTGCATTACATATTTACAATAGAGTTGCCAACTTTTAGAGTAACAAATTATGAATGCAGTTTTTTTACTCTCTATCCTGAGGGCACTAAAACAGCAGACTTCTTATGGAATTATACATCCAACCAACATTCCAAAAAGCATGAAAAATATACAAATTTGAAAAAATTATGAGCAAAAAGAAAAAACATTGAAAATGTTCGTTTTTTTTGATGATTTTTATCACACCATAATTTGGTTAAGAGTGAATCATTAAAAAAACCTCTTCTACAAACAAGCTTGGGACCATTTTTTTCCTTCACTTGGTGATGATGACAAGAGAGCTGGATGCTGAGATGATTAAGGCATCAGTTTACCACTGTGGGGAAGCAGGGATCAAATCTTGGCAACCAATCCCAGGAATTTTTCATGGTCAATGGTCTGTCCCAGATACAGATGCAAATGCTGTTGTGAATGAAGCAGTTGGGACCACATCAGAGTTATAGACAATGCCCAAAGAAATAAAACAAAAGTCAAAAGAACTAATGGTCTACGTGCAACCCTCTGCAAGATAAAGCCCTGGATTGGGCTGCTTGTTAAACACTTGCTGGGCTTAACAGAGCACATGGCACAACTCCAATCAACCCTATAAGTAGTCAGTGTAATGGATTTCTTGTGTTTCAAGAGCTTTTAGCCATTTCTAGTAAAGTGAAAAATGGTAAATTTTTAGCATTATTTTAAAAAACAGTCTGAAATTTGTTTGTTTTAAATTTTACTCCATTTTTGGGGGTCCAAAATTCCAGATAGATTAATTTTTGGGAGGGAGCTGTATCAAACGAAGGGTCACACAGACCATTGGTTCCTTTGATGTTTCTTACTCCTACACAGTCTACTGCTCCAATAAGGTTCCAGCCACTTCATTTATACCCAGATACATTTGGTTCTGGCCATCACCCCCACATGGGTCTTGCCAACCCAATACAAGGGATTTGGCAAGCCCAGTTAAATTTAATTGTAGGATTAAAACAAGTCCTTTTAGTGCCCACAGAGAGGAGAGGGGAAAAATGCAACCTAGGAATGAAAATTTTAATTACAATTACGGGTGAGAACTTCTCACGAGAAAAAAAGGTACGAGCTAAACAAAAACGCCTCGTTCATTTTCCAAAATATTTTTTAAAAATAACCGAAATTTCAAACCTTCGGCAACTCTAATTTACATATTAAATGTCAACATTGTTTCTCTTTACCAAATTACTTCTTTTGCACAAGACAATGTCTCTAGTCGTCTATTTAATTTAGAAATAGCTAACAGGTCAGCTGGAGGTAAATAATAAAGTATTTTTGCTAATATTTCGTTAGGAAGATCTAATAACTCTACAGCCATGTCAACCGGTCAGTAATCTCACACGTCGTCTATCTAAACAGCTGCTCTAACGTTGCCAACTCGTTAAATAACAGAACAGATATATAATTTTAGCAACTAAACCTAAAAATATATTTATATTAATACTTAAATTTAAAAATTTATTTGTTTATAATTTATAAATAAATTTTAGTGATGGGTTGTTATGAAATTTTAAATATTTTCCCAAATTTCCCGAAACTATAAAATTCACGTGGCTAATTTTAATAATTTATTCGTAAGATTTTCTGAAATTTTTATCCATTTCGGCACGGAATTTTGATAATTTTTTTTCAATTTCGACAAATTTCGGCGGCGTCCGAGATTGAAATTCAGTTAATTACAATAAAATCGAAATTTTATGCAAAAAAAATTAGAAGAAATAATACAATTTCCAGCTAAGTTCGCCAAATTTCATTTACGAGCCGCCGCACGTGACGAATTTCATTTAATAATCAATTTCGTCTTACGTTTACTAAATAATACAAACGTGGCGAAATGTACACATAAAAGTATATTTTTAAAAAATAATTTAAACAAAGGAGATTGATTAAATTAAATTAAAAAAATAAATAAAAAGTAAAATTTCACATTTTATTAACGTTATCTCTGTCACGTTATCGCATTAAATTTTTATCTGATATACAATAATTTACGGGGGAAAAATAATATAATTTGACAGTAATATGCAAATTAAATTTAAAAATAAATTGAAGAAAGAGTTAAATTAAGTATAAAACTTTTATTTTCTTTTGTTTTTAGGCGGTGCGACATCTGGACAGACCATGAGTTCTGTGGATGAAGTTAACCATTCTATAGAAGCCAAGATGGCGACTCAATATGTTACAGATGAAACAGGTAAATTATCTTACGATTTAATCGCGTTTTAAAGTTTATAAATCGTAATTTACACGCGTTAACCACAACACGTGACGATAACCGATCGGTTTCTCCATTGTTCTTACTTATTGCATTACTACCGATTGAATGGTGCTGAACTTATTGCTGAGTTGTTAACCCTTAATTTGGAGTATTATCATTCAAAAAATTAGGAGGTCCTCGCATGGCTTAGCATTGTTTAATTTCTTTCAGTCCCCCTTTCTGCATTGTTAAGAATTGTTCGCGATAATTGTTATATTTAATTAGATTTAACGTGTTTATTTTGTATGATGCGAGTCGATAAGTTACTGATTTATGGTGTTTATAAAATATTCTAATAACTGATTTAGTTATTTATATAAGAGCTAATTAGAAGAATTGCTTACTTTCTATGTTACGAAGAAACGATTATTTAATTTTCTATGACTCTTCTTCTATTGGAATTATTGTTTTTATTATTATTATTTTTTTATTTTTAGTACTCTTGGTTTCATTAAATCGTGTGTAAGCACAACTTAAAATGAATGTTTTTGTGAGAGTTCAAAAATATCTCGTAATACATAAACTTTTTCTGTGTTTCTTTTATAGTGTTGACATATCTGTAAACAGTAATGACTTGTATAATGTGTGGACTATTAATAATTAAAATGAAGTTATCTTCTGTATCTAAAGTTTCTTTGTCTCTTAATCGAATGGTTACTATTATTTTTTGCTGTAGTAATTGTTATAATTGCATTAGTTGTATTGATATTTTGCTATTTTTTCATATGTATATATTTTAATTCTGTAATAATCTTAGTGATTTTTTGTTTTAGAATACAATATAAATCTTGCAAAATGTATGGTCTTTTTGATTACATGCTTGTTAGGAAGATGATTTGTGCAAATCTGAGACGTCATCCTTGGTTCGGAAGTGTGGTCGAGCTGTTGGACATCAGTGGGGATGATGTCCCGATACTGCCAATATCAACACCATATCGATATTTCCCTTCGATAAGAGTACTTTTGGTCTGGCACCAGTATCGATATGTTTCCTTGGGTGTCGGATCTTGTATTGTTAATTTTTCATAGACTGGTAAGATCCACTTGAAATTGAATTTTACAGCCAAATCCGAAATCGTATTTGGGTTTTAAAGTCTGTTTCGGCTGAAACTGAAACCAAATCTTACACTATTTTTGGTTAAGTTAAACTGATATAATTAAAAAATTTTTGGTCACTAATATTCATGCATTACATCAGATTTCATTTTCAGAATCTATATCCAGTATACTTAGAGTTCAGATTACAATTTATAAATAACTTGCTAATTATTTGAAACACTTAAATCAACTGATACAGTATTGTAATATATTTTTAAGATTTTAACATTTACATTATATCAATATTAGAAATCAATTTTAATAATTTGTTAATAATAACTAGCTAGAATAAAGCATGTTATTTTTGTTAAAATTAACAATTTCAGTTGCACAAAACATTTCAAAATCAAGCCACAAACTGAACAGTGTCAGCTGACAAGATTTTCAGCTGACACTGATGCAATACTGGCTGGTATTGATACTTTTGTGGTATTGAGAGTCCCTAGGCATCTGCCTACAGTTCTGGGGACCCAGAAATGAATCGAGATGAGTAAAAAACTTCAGGATTTTTTTTTCTGGAACGGTCTGTTTTAGATACACGGAGCCCTGTCCCTCTCTGTTTGGCCAAACCACGTTGAGCTTGGTTAAAAAGATCTTAGTGCCGATGGATCAGAAAGAGTAAAACAAAAATCAAGTGTAAGAACAAAATTTTCAGAACTTCATTTATTAAATAAACTGCTAACTTCTGAACAAGAAAAGATATTTTATTGCAAAGATTAACACTAAAAGCAAAATCTTCATATTTTAAATAAATAACTTTAATTTTTTTGAAATCTTATATCTTAACTGCTTTATTTCAATCTGACGAAATAGTTATGTAAGCTAAATCAAACAACTCTGATATAACTTCAAAATAATTGCCAATCTCTACTTTCTTGGAGTTCAAAATCTTTTTAGAAACCATTATTCCTGTTCCCATTTGAACGAGAATCATTCAATGTGGTGTTTTGTAAAATAGAAACTACCATTGAATGAGATTAAATCAAGTAACATTACCAAGAGCACACTCGAAGATGGACTAGTAATGAGTCCAAAAATACTCTTAGAAAATAGTTACTTTCCGTACAAAGACTTCCAATTCCAAGAAAACAGATTAAATATTTGATTAGTGACTAGTTCCATATGTTAATCATATTGTATTCTTCTATTTAATTTATAACATCAGTCATTTATTTTTAAACGTAATCAGTTGCATCTCTTCTCGTATTTTGGTGTTAAATTATTTATATTTTCTCTTAGGCTCTTAGGTTAGCAGAGTTCATATTTATTTTTAATAATCTATAATTTGATTAATTTTAGAGTAAGCTGATTTTTTTCTTTCTCTATCATTTGATATTTTTAAACTGGTTTAATAAAAAAAACTGTTTGATGTTTAATATTCTATGCAGCTAATAATATAAATGAAATTAATTTGAAAATATGACATGACATTATTGATTTTTAAAAAATTACATAATTTATTCATGTAGGCATTTTATTAATATTATCCTATAAATTTTAAAAAGTAGAAATATGTGACAGTATTTAATAATTTAGTGTGTGAATTAAAATTTACATAAAGTATCTTAATATTGCAGTCTGAAAATCTAGTATATCTCTATAATTTTTTAATTAATCAAAAAGTGCTCTGTATTTTATTTTACATACATTTTTAAAGTAAATTTACAAGAACAGTTTTAAAATTAATTAACAATTTAAAAGACCAGATTATATTTCTCTTATAAAATGATGACAAACTGACCTTTCATACGTTTCCAGCAGTGACAACATTGGAAAAAAAAATGCAAGCATTTTCGGCCATATCTAGGGGCCAGCATTAATCATCTATAGAAGCATTTCTTCTTCTTCTTCTTCTTCTTCTTTTTTTTCTTTTTAGCCAAAAATTTGGTTAAGAAGAAATTTGCTAAATCTAAATGAAAATTTTGAATATTGAACTATTACATTTTATTGAGGATGGAGCAAGAAAAATGCTTTTTCAAAAGCATTTATTTATTAAAATTGTGACTTCTTGGCTTAGTTAACTTTTTTTTTTCTAGAGTTATATTTATACATTCCAATTTAAAGCAGGATTAAAAGTATATTGATGCATTCTACATAACTAGTAATTCTTGACTGATGTGCCATGAACTAGGGTTGCCACAAAATTTCAAGAAATTATTTAAAAATTATTTTTGTTTTTATGTAAAAACAAAAAAAAAAGTTAGATCTTCAATATCATTTCATTTAAACATATAAAACCATCTTTGATGTAACACTGGCTTATTGGCAAGTCACCAAAAATTCAGATTATGCCACCAGCTCAAAAAGGTGAACAACAACTCTGTGTAAAGACTAAGAACTTGCATCTAGCTGTTTTGCATCACATAACACACTTGATTAACAAGTAATCTGTTTTTTAAATGTCAACTGTTTTGCTTGCTTGATTTCTGTAGGTAAAAAAGATATAGGTTTGTTTAATTAATAATAATCAATTTAATAAATTTGACAACAGAATTATTATAGATCTTGTTACTTTTTATTTAATTTTATTTTATATTCATCTATGTTAATTCTGTACAGATCTTTTGTTTTACAAAGAAAACATCTTTGTTGGTTTGTTTTGGCAAACTGACTATTTATGATAGTAATGAGATAATTAAAAATTTCTGTATCTTTCAACATCATATATTTTACTTCAATTTGAATAATTATGCAAGTATATTGTTGATATTTAATATTGGCTACATGCCAATATTAAATATCAACAATACCCAAATTTTTCAGAAAAAATCAGAATACCCAAATTATTTTTTGCATTTTTCAACATTTCAAGGTCCAGAACCCAAAAATGTAAAAATCTTGGGGGGTCTTGTTTTGAACAATTGCAGTACTTTCCCTTTGTCTATACTAATATTATAAAGAGGTAATGTTTGTAAGTATGTATGTATGTAAGTTTGTTTGCAGCAGGTAATCTCCGAAACTACTCATCGGATTTCAAAAATTCTTTCACCAGTATTTAGAATGGAACCTCAGGGTGGACATAGGCTGTATATTATTCCATTAAACATTCATATAAATTAAAATATATAATCTAGGTTAAGGCTTTTATGTCCAACAGATGGCACTACGAGTATGACGCCCTAAGTTTGCTTTTCTGTGAAAATGAACTAAAGCAGATCATCTTCTATCTAATCTATATATATATATATATAAAAATAGACGTGTGTGTCCCTATATTTCACTTTTCTGCCAAAACTACACATCTCACATGAATGGTGTTTGTATGTGGTAGTAGCTCCAAGTCTCCATTCGTGCATAAGGGTGGTTGCGTCTCGATAGCTATAAGGGTGTGGGAGATATGGGGCTGAAAGTGGTTAAACACACTCAGAACATCTTTTGTATGTGCAGCCATATTTATTAAATTCTAACATTTTTGGTCATATTTAATGACCTTTATCAAGGGAAAAAAACAGAAAAAATCAAACTCTGAGAAAATTTGAATTAACGATACATGCATTTAGAACGTTTCTAAAAGGATATTCTACGGGAATAAAGAGCGCCATCTCTACATAAAGGCTGTAATTGTATAACTACGTTAGCTATTAGAACGTTAAAAAATAATATGACATTCAAGATATAAAATAACAGTAAAAATAAAAATAACAATAAAAAATACAAACAGACCTAAAGTACCAAACATAAAGAATGTGTTGAGCAAATACATTAATTAACTTAAGGGTTCTACCCTTAAGTTAATTAATGTATTTGCCCTGGTATGGTGGTAATGTATGGTGGTAAAGTGGCTACATACCCTTAAGTATGTAGCCATTTTACCACCGTTCTTGACACTTATAATATGC